AAGAAAGCAGTGCACAGCGTTTGGTTAATTACAGAGAGGCCGAGGTGGGTCCCAATAAGGAAGGCTTTCCCTCAATTCCAGTGTCTATTAATGGCTATTGGGGGGAAATGACACTCTCTCTGCCGGAGTATCAGGAATGTGGCTGGTGAATGTCAGGAACACCTTGAACAAGACTTTGCCATCTCTTCAAGGCTAGGATCCTATTTTATATTATGTAACTCAAAAAGCACTTCAGTGAATCTTCAGATAATTCTGCTGAGTGAAAAAAAAAGCCAGCTCCAAAAGGTTACATGCTGTGCACACTACCATTTATATAACACTCTTGAAATCACAAAAGTGTAGAAATGAAGAACAGATGAATGGTTGCCAGGGATGTAGGTGGGGGTGGGAATAGGAGGGAAGTGATATTAGGGCTCCTGCTGGTAATGGATATATTCTGTCTTTTGACTGTACCAAATCTCAATCTCCTGATTTGAGATATTGTAGTACAGTATTACACGATGTTACCTTTGGAGAAAACTGGGTGAAGATTACACAGGATCTCTATGTATTATTTCTAACAATTATATGTGAATCTACAATTATCAATTATCTCAAAATAAAAAGTTTAACCAAAAAAAAAATTAAAAAGCGTTTCAGATCTCACCCACATGTAGGTCATCTCAGTGGATCACACTGGCAGTGACATGCCAATGACCATGACCAAAGGGCTCACGGAAGGTCCTCTCCTCCACAACGAGGCAGCACTTCCCGGAGCACCTGGCACCCTGGACACACCTGCTTAGCTCTCCTGGGAGACACTGCCTTCATCTCACAACCAGTATGCCAAAGCTTTCCTGCTAATGAACCCCAATATCCAACTTTTCTACTCCTGCCAGAGGCAATGATGTATTTCTAGCTGCCCAGATTCAAAACTATGACCCTAGCTTTGATTCTTGATTTTGTTTTTCTAAATGCAGGAACCCAATCCTAGGAAGCTATTCCTCAAAATGTCTCCAAATTTTCATCGTTCCGTTTCTGCTGTAATTCTTAGCCAGGCCTCACCACCTCAGAGATTTGATACTGTGCTAGCCCCCCAGCTTCCCATCCCTGTCAATTTCTCCCCAACCCACCCACCTCCATCCTACACACTGCACCGTTACTTCTCATCATTCTACCATCCTAACGAAACTTTGAGCAGTGTTCCCAGTGTGTGTGTGGGGGGGGCGGTGTGGGGGGTAGGGAGAAGAGGGAGCATGGCTCTCTAAGGTGTGTAAGAGAGAATGAGAGAGAGAGAGAGAGAGAGAGAGAGAGAGAGAGAGTGTGTGTGTGTGCGTGTGTGTGTGTGTGTGTGTGTGTGTGTGAGAAAGGGGGCTGTGGCCAGAGCTCCCCTAGACTCAGGTTTAGCAACTAGGCTACATGGGAGTCGGGACACAGGGCCATCCCCACACAGTACAAAGAAAGTCTTGAGATCTGTGACCAGCAACCTCGGGCACAGCTGGAAGAATGAGCTTCAGTGGGGCAGACAGAAAAATGCAGAAATAGCAACACAGAATGGGCGGATTTCATGATGACATCAGGAGGCCATGAAACCCACAAGGAGGTGGACAACCCCTGCGGCCTCCCCCATGGCCAGAAGGGGATCCATACGGATACAGAGAGGCAGACTCTGCGTGAGGATGATGAAAGGCTATGCTGTACAAGCTGAATCACCTTACCCCAATTCATGAGACTTCCAGATACACTAAAAGAAAAAGTCCATACTGTGTGGAAAGCCATGGGTTGAGCATCTGCTTCTTACCTCTGACTGGGAAGTTTAAAGATGGATTTTTGTAAATAGAATGAAACATGTTATTGAAAACACTTTTTCTTTCTTTTAAAAAGTAATTATTTAGCTGCAAATGTAACATTTTCTCCTCTGTCTGTAAGACTCAAATATCTGCAAATATTGCATAATGGCCCTCTGGCAGACTCACATCTTGTTGCCTTTCATGGAAGGAAAATGAAGAATTATGAAAATAGAATGACAAGGTTTCTCTAACCCAGGATTCCATTATCAACTCTGTGCCTGTTTAAGGTGAAAACAACAGGACCTCATGGTTTCTGTTCTTTAGGTTCCGAGAAATCTTCATCAAAAGAAAACCCTAGGACCCCTGGCTTTCCTGATTTCTTAATTTAATTTGAACCAGGAAAACCACTGTGGCTGTACTGACCAATCTGAATGTTGAAGGAGGGGCCCGAGGCTTCCTTCTCAAAACCTAAGGGTTTCATGCTGGTGCATCCAATCGTCTTTGCAGATTCCTCACTGTCCAGTCATGGGGGGAGGGGGAGTGTTGAGACCACCATACTGGTTTCGTAAAGACAAGTGATCTCATTAGAACTGCACTGAAGATAAACGCGGTGGCTGCTACCACTGCTGACTTTCAGCCACTAGCCTGGAACCGAGCACCCCCTGCAGGGTCAGGCGTGGACACGGGCTGCGAGCATCACCCACCGTCCCCTTTCTAACAAAGCCATAAGCTCCAAGGCTTAGGCTGACCCTTGACTCTATTTTCTTTTCCTCAGGGTGACTGGCCTGGTATTGAACACAAGAGCTGGAGACTATTGTGGACCTTCCTTCTGGAAAATGAACGATGGAGAAAGAAACCAGCACTGATCTGATGCTGATGCCCCAAGTGGCTGGGGAAGAGGCTGGTGCCCCAGGTGGCTGGGGAGACAGAGGCCCCGAGGAGAGATGCCCAAGGTCCCAAACGCTGTGTGTGCTACACAGGGAAAGAAGTGGGGGAAGCATAATTCCTACAAACTCATTCTTAAGGACTTTTAATTTTGTGATTTCTCCATGGTATTTAGAAGTCAGTAAGGATGTCCCTGTGCATTCCTTTTCCTTGCAGAATGATTCCAAAGAAAAACTGACAGGATGCTGTTGCAACACTGAAGGCTCTGAGCCTTCCTCCCATCTACTGAGCGGACAGAGGCACTTCTGTTAGGCCCACTTCCTTTTTCTCATCTCCTCTTTTTCTTCCTAGCCCATGGTCTCTCCTCTCACCCTTTCCCCTCTCTCTCTTCTCTTCTTCCTGCCTGTGCCATCCTCTCTCCCCTCCCACTCCCACCACCGGGACCTTGCCCTCCCTCTACTCCCTTCCTGGTGATGAGCTAAAAGGTTGTCACTTTTCCTATCACAAGCACAGCTGCTAGGTTTTATTCCCTTTTGGAAATAGGGCTGCTTGTTGGCGTTTTATGATGACCATAATAAAGTCAGTTTTTATTGCAAACTCTCCCATCTCCCTAGCTTTTGGGGTCCTCGAGGCCATGCAGAGAGCACAGGGGAGGGAGCAGCTTCCAAATGAACATGAAGGTTAGGGAAGGCTCCCAGCAGAAGGACAGAAAAATCAGAAAACGCTGAAACAGGATATGAGATACACATCATCCCTCAGCCTGGCTAAATCAGTCTATTCGGCCCAGAATTCCACTCAGCTTGCAAGGTCACCTACAGCAGTTTGTAAATAGAGCCATATCCATTTTCCATAGAAAACAGAGCCAAATTTTTAAAAAGAAGAACAGATTTTCAGTCTCCTAAGAGAAACCATGGCTGTTTCTATTATAAAACGGGACTGGGGGGATTCTGTCATCAATAATACTGGGAAAAGGAAAATTGAGAGGAAGATGTAAGGGCAACCAAGGACCTGGGACCCAGTGGGCATTGCACACCGAAGCCATCCAGAGGGGAAAGGCCCTCCCACCCACACAAGGGCACCATCACCAAGTCTGGAAGGAAGATACAGCTTCAACTAGATCTATTCTTGTCATAAAGTCAAATCAAGGCTGAGTGCTCCTGACATACAGCAGGGTCCTCAGGAAGCAGGTACTTTGAGAAGCGAGGTCAAGGGATGTGACTCATTGCTTAAGAGCATGGCACTGGTGCCTGCCAGCCTTGGCAGGCTCGCCCAACTGGGGGTGGCAGTGAACATAGGGATGGGAAGCCTGGGATGACCACAGGTTCTGCAGGGACCCCTGGGAAGCTATGTTGATTCTGTGACCGAAGTCAGGCTGAAATTCCCCACCCAGGCCCTCGATGCCCTCCCTGCCTGATCCTGTTGCCTCCTCTAGTCACCGTGGTCTCTGCTATGGTGCCTCACCCCACAAGCTGACCATACTTCTGCCTGGGTTCAGTAGCATCTGCTCAGGACAGGATCCCTTCTTACTTCCTCCAAATCCACGCCGCCCCGCCCCCAGCCAGGTACCTCCCGGTCCCACCTGAATCCAGAGAAGACCACACCAGAGCCTCACTCAACTTCCAGCACCCCTTAGGTACCAGAGTGGATCTTCCTCCTTAAGGCAGCACCCCCAGAGTGTGGGCACTCACAGCCGAGGCACGGCCAGCCAGACGTAGGCCAAGATCCGTGGGGGAAATTAGATAGATTCTCATAACCAAGCACTATTTCCTCAACTACAAAATGGGGATGGTATTATTTACCTTAGAGCGGTCTTAGGTGGATTAAAGGTGATAATGCTTGAAAAGTACCTACTATGGTGCCTGGTGCCTAGGTAAATTGTTAATAAATGTTGGTCACTTTTATAATTGATAGCAGAGTTGCAAGGCAATCTCAAATTCATTCATCTATATATAGGAATATGCATATACATATGTATAACATATAAGTATGTACTTAAGTAACTGAAAGTATTAAACATGAAATACAGTGGGTAATATTAATACTCTATCCATGGCATAATGTTTTAATTAAACATTAAAAACCAGAGGTGCCAAAAGCATTTGATTAATGCTTAAAAGGAAAAAATAAAAATACATTAAAAATTCGTAAGCTCTTTGCAATTTGAGTTTTTTTTTTTTTTTTTTTTAAATCTATAAAACAGTAGTCCTTATTTGTACTGTGACAGGGCAGGAACAAAGCTGAACAGGACTTCTTTCTGCAAAACCATCTCAGAGAGGGTAACAGGGTAAAAAGACAGGTGTATAACATGCAAACTGAATAAAATGTTCAATCATAACCTCCTCTTACCTTTGACCCAATGAGCGTGTACAGCCACTGAATGGTTTCATTGTGGTTTATTACTCCATTCATCCCATCCACATACAACATAATCTGGCCCAAAGCTACAGAAGAGAAGAGAAAAAGAAGCAAGGAGACATTATGGTTTATATGTAAATATAAGCTCCAATGATCATAATGTCAAGTGAGATTTTCACACTTTAAGTACACTGTATGTTAAGAACCAAATCTGCAGAGAATCCCTGAGCTCTGAAATTAGCGCAATCTCATTGCAGAAAGTGTTGATCACTCCAGAAGAAATAAGGGTTATCCTGGTGTCTGGAAGATGCAATTAAGGCCCCAAAGCCAGTGATTGTTGTTTCTCTGTGCCTTGATGTATAAATGCATGTTTTTACGTTTCTATATCTGTATGGAGTCTCAGACGAGGCAGAGATATCCATGAGATGGTGTCTGGGTCATGGCCTCCCGCTGGGGCCAAGAGGGTGCATGAAGTTTCTAAAAACAACTTGTCTGGTGCCCCAGCCTATGGTCAGGCAGGTCCCTGACACTATGGAACTATTTTGAGCCAATACAATTTGAACCCTTAAGATAAGGAATAAATATGTATTTAAATATTATTTGTAATCCTTTTAAAGACTTTCAGGTTTTAAAATGTCAGAAATCATGAAAACAGAGGGTGGGGGTGGGAAGGGGGAATGGGGAGGTTAGTGTTTAATGGGGACAGAGTTTCAGCTTAGGAAGGTGAAAAATTCTGGAGATGGTGAGAGTTGAAAAACAATGTGAATGTACTTAGTGCCACTGAATACATTTAAATATGGTTAAAATAGTATGTTTTATATTATGTGACTTTTACTGCAATAAAAAAATTTTAAAAAATCATAAAAAAATTGTCGATACCAAGTCCTAAATTCTTAGTTAAGAAAAATATAGTCACCACAGATTGTTATTATTCACCAAAAAAACCCAAAACAAAACCAAAAAAAAAGCCACATTATTACTTTTAAAATTATATATATAAACTCTATTTTTTCAGTTCCCTTGGTATCAAAATAATTTGGATTCTAGAATACGAACAAACAGGAGTTACATACTCTTAAGTAAATAGGCTTCCTTGAATCAGGTCTGACCTCCTATCTTACTGCAGCCATAATTAATTGGCATGGCATTGGCATTTTTTGGTAACACTTTTTTTTCTGGTAATATTAGGATATCTTATTTTAGAAAACTGACAACAAGAGGTGTAAAGTGAAAATAATTCATAATCTCATAGTTTAAAGAATTATTCTTAACATGTTGACATGTTTTCTTACATTCCTTCTTTTATGCGTTACACACACACATACACACAACTTTATATGTAGGTCGTGGGAACAGTCCAGATAAAATGGTGATGATTGAAAAGAGCAAAGCACAAAATAGTGAGTGTACACTAATTCCAAGCATACAAATACATGTGTTATGTTAGAAAACTCACTATTATACTATCCAACAAAAGATCAAATGACAAAACCACAGCACCATTCTGAGAAAAAGTATGCTCCTAAATATGTAAAAACTCAAAAATTTTTTTGGATTTATTTTATTTATTTATTTTTTAACATCTTTATTGGAGTATAACTGCTTTACAATGGTGTGTTAGTTTCTGCTGTGTAACAAAGTGAATCAGCTATACATAAACATATATCTCCATATCTCCTCTCTCTTGCTCTCCCTCCCACCCTCCCTATCCCACCCCTCTAGGTGGACACAAAGCACAGAGCTGATCTCCCTATGCTACGTGGCTGCTTCCCACTAGCTATCCATTTTACATTTGGTAGTGTATATATGTCCATGCCACTCTCTCACTTTGTCCCAGCTTACCCTTCCCCCTCCCCGTGTCCTCAAGTCCATTCTCTGTGTCTGCATCTTTATTCCTGTCCTGCCCTTAGGTCCTTCAGAACCATTTTTTTTTTTTTTTAGATTCCATATATTTGTGTTAGCATACGGTACTTGTTTTTCTCTTTCTGACTTACTTCACTCTGTATGACAGTCTCTAGGTCCATCCACCACACTACAAATAGCTCAATTTCGTTTCTTTTTATGGCTGAGTAATATTCCATTGTATATATGTGCCACATCTTCTTTATCCATTCATCTGTCGATGGATATTTAGGTTGGTTCCACCTCCTGGCTATTGTAAATAGTGCTGCTATGAACATTAGGGTACATGTATCTTTTTGAATTATGGTTTTCTCAGGGTATATGCCCAGCAGTAGGATTTTTAGTTTTTAAGGAACCTCCATACTGTTCTCCATAGTGGCTGTATCAATTTATGTTCCCACCAACAGTGGAAGACGGTTCCCTTTTCTCCACACCCTCCCTAGCATTTATTGTTTGTAGATTTTTTGATGATGGCCATTCTGACTGGTGTGAGGTGATACCTCATCATAGATTTGATTTGCATTTCTCTAATGATTAGTGATGTTGAGCATCCTTACATGTGTTTGTTGGCCATCTGCATTATCTTCTTTGGAGAACTGTCTGTTTAGATCTTCTTCCCATTTTTGGATTTGGTTGCTTTTTTGATATTGAGCTGTATGAGCTGACTGTATATTTTGGAGATTAATCCTTTGTCCGTTGATTCATTTGCAAATATTTTCTCCCATTCTGAGGGTTGTCTTTTTGTCTTGTTTATGGTTTCCTTTGCGGTGCAAAGCTTTTAAGTTTCATTAGGTCCCATTTGTTTATTTTTGGTTTCATTTCCGTTTCTCTAGTAGGTGGGTCAAAAAGGAGCTTGCTGTGATATATGTCATAGAGTGTTCTGCCTATGTTTTCCTCTAAGAGTTTTATATTGTCTGGCCTTACATTTAGGTCTTTAATCCATTCTGAATTTATTTTTCTGTATGGTATTAGAGCGTGTTCTCATTTCATTCTTTTACATGTAGCTGTCCAGTTTTCCCAGCACCACTTATTGAAGAGGCTGTCTTTTCTCCACTGTATATTCTTGCCTCCTTTATCAAAGATAAGGTGACCATATGTGCGTGGGTTTATCTCTGGGCTTTCTATCCTGTTCCATTGATCTATATTTCTATTTTTGTGCCAGTACCATACTGTCTTGATTACTGTAGCTCTGTAGTATAGTCTGAAGTCAGGGAGCCTGATACCTCCAGCTCTGTTTTTCTTTCTTAAGATCGCTTTCGCTATTCGGGGTCTTATGTGTTTCCATACTATTTGTGAAATTTTTTGCTCTAGTTCTGTGAAAAATGCCATTGGTAGTTTGATAGGGATTGCATGGAATCTGTAGATTGCTTTGGGTAGTATAGTCATTTTCACAACATTGATTCTTCCAATACAAGAACATGGTATATGTCTCCATCTGTTGGTATCATCTTTAATTTCTTTCATCAGTGTCTTATAGTTTTCTGCATACAGGTTTTTTGTCTCCTTAGGTAGGTTTATTCCTAGGTATTTTATTCTTTTTGTTGCAATGGTAAATGGGAGTGTTTCCTTAATTTCTCTTTCAGATTTTTCATCATTAGTGTATAGGAATGCAAGAGATTTCTGTGCATTAATTTTATTTCCTGCTACTTTAGCAGATTATTTGATTAGTTCTAGTAGTTTTTTGGTAGCATCTTTGAGATTCTCTATGTACAATATCAAGTCATCTGCAAACAGTGACAGTTTTGCTTCCTCTTTTCTGGTTTGGATTCCTTTTATTTCTTTTTCTTCTCTGATTACTGTGCTACAACTTCCAAAACTATGTTGAATAATAGTGGTGAGAGTGGGCAGCCTTGTCTTGTTCCTGACCTTAGTGGAAATGGTTTCAGTTTTTCACCACTGAGAACGATGTTGGCTGAGGGTTTATCATATATTTTATTATGTTGGGGTAAGTTCCCTCTATGCCTACTTTCTGGAGAGTTTTTATCATAAATGGGTGTTGAATTTTGTTGAAAGCTTTTTCTGCATCTATTGAGATGATCATATGGTTTTTCTCCTTCAATTTGTTAATATGGTTTATCACATTGATTGATTTGCGTATATTGAAGAATCCTTGCATTCCTGGAATAAACCCCACTTGATCATGGTGTATGATCCTTTTAATGTGCTGTTGGATTCTATTTGCTAGTATTTTGTTGAGGATTTTTGCTTCTATGTTCATCAGTGATATTGGTCTATAGTTTTCTTTTTTTTGTGACATCTTTGTCTGGTTTTGGTATCAGGGTGATGGTGGCCTCGTAGAATGAGTTTGGGAGTGTTCCTCCCTCTGCTATATTTTAGAAGTAAAAACTCAAAATTTTAAACACTTAATTTAACATATCCTTGTCACAATAAACTGTACATTTTTTAAAATAACAGTTTCATATTCTATTTAGTGGTGAAACACTGGAGATACTCCTATTAAAATCAGAAAAAATTTTAAAATGATGCCCATTAATCTCATGATTATTTAGTACCATGCTACAGACTTTCAAGCAAATTTAACAAGACATGAAAAACAATTAAAGGTAGGATGTTTAGAAATGAATACATAATACTGTCATTATTGCAAGAAATATTATAGACCCAATAAAAAACTCATCTACAGAATTTATAATGAAGAGATCACAATTATAACCACTTTCTCATCTTAATGAGAAATAAGTATGTAACATACAAAGGAAATTAAAGTTTGATATAAAAATATAATACTAGATAAATGATATGACAGCATATATGATAAAGGCTTAAATGATTTATTGTATAAACAATTCATACAAGTTGATAAGAAAATACTAAATGCCAATAGAAAAAAACTAAAAGCATTTCATAAGAAAGATGACAAGCTGGTTTACAATAACAAAGTTGTGCATTCTTACTATAATAAAAATGCAAATTAAAACAATAATGAGAGAGAATTTTCACTTAAATCATGAAAGATATTTTTTAAAGAAATGATTAGGTTATCAATTGCTGGAGAGGTTAAACCAGTAACTTCATACATTCCTGGTGGTGGGGCAAGTTGGTACAAGTCCTATAATAAGGCTATTTAATGCTGTAGTTGTTTTAAAAATAGTTACCATTTAGTGTCTACCATGTCCGAAGTTCTGAGGGTGGGACTTTATACGTGTTATTAATACAACAGCCC